TTTTCTCTAATTAAATATACCTCATTAACATTAATATATCTACCGTATTTTTTCTTGATTATATTATTTATAGATAGATATATAAAAGTATTATATCTCCGTATATAATATTATTGGTATTTGACTAGAGGCAATTTTTATGATTAAATAGATCACAGATTAATATATAATGGGGACGCTCGGTCATCTTTTAATTAAATGTATATATATTTAGATATCTCTATGAAAGTGCTATTTAATATTTTATTGGTATTTGACTATATACCGAAACCAACCGCATTATCTTTTAAGTATATTTTAGATCTTAAATTAAAGATAATTCGGCCAGTAAATCTTTTTATTATTTCGATGTTTCGACAAATATATTTTGTCCTCGTTAAGAGCGAACAAAAATTAAAATGCAGCCTTCGAATAATTTTTAACGTTTTGCCAAATGTTTTAATTTTTGTTCGCTCCTGACGAGGACAAAAGATTTTTGTCGAAACGTCGAGACAATAAAAAAGATATCTGGCCGAAGTATCTTTAATTTTAAGAGCTATGAATGTCAGTCAGGCAGCCTCTATCTTTATGATATATTTTAGATATTATTAGTTTAATAATTTTTTATGATTTTTTTTTCTATTTTAACTATCTATTAAAACATAGAATGCGTGTAAGAAATTCTAAAGTAATAGGAAACATTTTCTAAGATGTTTTAGCTTTCTTATTCAAAATTTTTGATATCATGGAATAAATATTTTCTACAGAAAATAAAATACTAGCTGAATCATCCGGCTTCGCTCGGTTCTGTTCGAGTGAATGTTTACCCATTGAATATTGATTTAGATTATGCAAATTTTAATGATTATATTATTATTATCCTTATTAGTATAGTTTTCCTGAGATAAATATTAATATGTTATCATATTTATAATACAATATAATGCGGCATATAATATTCACGAACGGAGAAATATGTCCAGGGTAGCCTAGTGGACATGGCATCTACCCGGCGGAAGACTGTGGGTTTGATTCCCATCCCTGGATACTTTTATTTTTCCGTTTATCATTACTCTTCACAATTCATCTCCTTTCATCTATATATATAAAAATGAATGTATGTGTGTGTGTGTCTGTCCTTTATGCTTGACCAAACCACTCATTGGAACAACATGAAACTTTGGGAAGTTATTTAGTATAGTACTGGGAAGGTTTCTAGCAAATAAAATTTTTGAAATAACTTTTCGCTTTAAAATAATCAAGATAAATATTCTAATTTATCTGTTATAATTCAACAATCTGCTCTAAATATTATCATGATGATACGATGATTTTGTAATGTAGAAAATTAGGAAAGACAAAATTCAGGATGACACGGCAATTTATTTGAGACAAGAATAATGATACAATTCCAAGGCAAGATACTATTCCTTTAACTTCCAATTACCGAGGGAACCAATTAATATTGATTTTATTCAACTTATCGAGTATTTTTCAAGGGACCGGGAAAAAATGTTCACTTTATCGAGAGATTCGTTAGACAAACCTTTACTCGGGTAAAACCCCGGTGAAGCCGGGTACGTCCGCTAGTACTTCATACAAAAGGTTAGAAATAATCGTTATTTCTCATTAAAATAAATTTCGATTTTTCGTTCAAAAGAAACACATGCGGGATAATTGTCAAATGTTGTTCTATAATGTTATCCTATTACATAGGTTATTCCAATAGTAATGCCTGTTTGACCATAACTCGAAAAGTACTAAATATTTTTTATTCCTGAAGATCCTATTTGTTGGTTGGAAGTAGATTCAGAGAAAAACACATCAACCACCAATAGTTTATTTCAACTCCGACATTTCAATGACTTCACCCTGTCACTCTTTTCAGGGGAATGATTACTGTGAATCCTAGCTCTACTTATATATAGGTTACTAGCGGATGTACCCGGCTTCGCCCGGGTTTTACCCGAGTAAAGGTTTGTCTAACGAATCTCTCGATAAAGTGAACATTTTTTCCCGGTCCCTTGAAAAATACTCGATAAGTTGAATAAAATCAATATTAATTGGTTCCCTCGGTAATTGGAAGTTAAAGGAATAGTATCTTGCCTTGGAAATGTATCATTATTCTTGTCTCAAATAAATTGCCGTGTCATCCTGAATTTTGTCTTTCCTAATTTTCTACATTACAAAATCATCGTATCATCATGATAATATTTAGAGCAGATTGTTGAATTATAACAGATAAATTAGAATATTTATCTTGAGATTATTTTTAGGCGAAAAGTTATTTCAAAAATTTTGTTTGCTAGAAACCTTCCCAGTACTATACTGAATAACTTCCCAAAGTTTCATGGCGTTCCAATGAGTGGTTTGGTCTGGCATAAAGGACACACACACACACATACATACATTCATTTTTATATATATTATAAATAAAAAAAAGATTTTCTGCTTGATTTTTGATTATCTTGTGGATTATGCTATGGTAATGCAGTCGTGGCAAAATCTTGAAAATATAATAATAAAAAATAGTTTTGATCAGTAATTACTTTAATTGAACTAAAGGAATATATAACAAACATAATTTGACAAAAGCACTGCCTGTCTTAAGGCGAGTAGAACAAGGAAAAACAAAATATTATTTACATAATTACATATGGTTTGAGCCGGCCATCGGGAAACAACGACAATGAGTTTTTTATAGGGTAGGCGTCACCTCTGGCGGTCGATTTAGCAGAGTATTTGAATCTATGAAATATAATTCTCTAAATAAAATAATATTTTAATATAACATACTAGACGGGTGACCCGGGCTTCGCCCCGGGATTGACCCGTGTGCATATCTACCCGAGTGATATATATTTAGATAATATTTTTTAAAATAATTGTTTGTTATTAGCATCATCTATTTGTTTGCATCAGCATAATTTAATCTAATCTTCGATAGAGGGCGCTGTTCGTGAGCTAAGTAGAATAATTTGAATATATAGTTTTAATAATTGATTTATATATTTTTTAAATAGCCTATCGTCTTCCCCATATTTTTTTTACCTATGTATGGAAATTTTGGTTTGAATTAGTGAGCTACTGCGAATTTGTATGCCGGACATACAAACAAACAAACATACAAACATTGATTTATATATATATATATATATATATATATATATATATACATGAGAGTGACAGTAAGTCACTGAAATGTTGGGAGTTGAAATAAACTATTGGTTGATATTGGCTGTGTTTTTGCTCTAAATATTTTTATTCAAATTTTTGTACACATATAAATCAAATATTTGTGAATAGAATGGTATTATTTAAAATATTCTCCAACGGAGTCTATACATTTTCTCCAGCGTTCAACCCACGCTGTAAACTGCTTTGGAAATATGCTGGAGGTTGTTTTCTTAACTATGTCTTTATGGTCGTTTTACTTCATGTAGGTCTTCAAATCTTTGTTCCTTCATTGGAGAGAATAAATAGAAGTCACAAGATGCCAAATCTGGGCTGTATGGGGGTTATGGAATCAGTGACCGGCCCATTTGTCCAATAGCCTCTAATGTCTAGAAGGAGGTGTGCGGCCGTGCATTGTCATGGTGTAACTTGACGGATTTAAGAGGAATCTCTGGTCTTTTTTTTTTAATAGATTCCCTAAGCCTTCGTAAAATTAGAACATAGCGAGAACTGTCCACAGTGATACCTTCTTCTAGAAAATCAATCAGTATTACAACTCGCATGTTCCAAAATACAGTTTTCATCACCTTTTTTGGATGACCTCTGCACTTTGAGGTTTTTAGTAGGCTCTCTTGTCTTAGCACATGGCCTATATGGAATTGATATTCTCTATTTTTTTCAGTATACATAAACGTCTCTCTAAAACACTCAATTGAAATTACACTAGAATGATTTGGCAGTAGTTTTACCAGGAACGCAATGGGAACGAATCCATGGTAAATTTGTCTATAATAACAACCTTCTTCTCTAAGAAGATGAGATTATATTATTACCAATTTAAAAGTATTAGGAATGATTGAATGAATTCTAATTGTGCAAATATTCTCTCATCTATGCAACTAGGTATGTAAATAGGAAATTCTCTCGCTGGAAGGAACTCCGACCAATCGATTTCCTTCTTTGTCTCTGCCGTAAAAACCAATTTCAGGCCTCAAGTCGGTCTAATACGGATTTGCCGGGTGGCCGGGCGCGCGTATTTGGTTTTGAAGCAGGAACCTTTGATCGTCTGCCAGTATTTACCGCCACTTCATGGCTTAATTACCAAGAGTAAACACCCCTTGAGCTCTCTCTTTAAAAAGAGTTTGTCTCGCTTTGTTGCGGAGCCAATTGATGGAGTTCCAAATTGGAATCTAACTTTAATTTTTTTTTATTTCTTTCTAGAAACTGCTTTTCTCTCTCTCTGTATTCTCTCTCTCTCTTTTTTTGTTATTTGAAATTTAAAAAAATGTTTTCGTTTTGCTGCTCTTTTATTTGTTGTTTTCTTAATTAGGTTTGTAATTAGTAAGTAATCAATTGAATGTCTAGCTTTCTGTGATTTTTTTTTGTATTTTTTGACCAAGTTAAGGAATTTTGTTGGGTAATTAATTGTTGTTGTTTTTTTTTTTAAGAAGAGGAGGTTAGAGGCTTATATTGGTTTCCAAGTGAAATATTATCTTGCTCACATTTTCTTGTTCAGTTGCCTATTTAATTTTTTTTATTTCTTTAAAGCATCTTTCGTTTCGTATTTTATTTTTTTTCTAAATTTTGTAGTAGATAGGATTACGAAATTGCCACTACTTTTTTATATATAAAATAAATAATTATAAATGTAGTTTTATATAAAAATCCTGGATATAAATTTAAAAAAAAAGCCATCCACGAATTTATCAAGAAATTGGGTTGGCCAAATATCACGGAGCAAGTTAAATAAACGTTTTGCTTGCTCCACTAGATGGCGCTCAGCCATTTAAAAAGCACATGTGCTCGTGGTCAGAAAATGCCTTCTTTATTTTTAATATCAACATCTGACCCACTTATCTTTTATTTTTTTCTATTATTTTTTTTCATATATATATATATATATATATATAAAAGAAAGATAAAATAAAAGAGTAAACGATATACAGTTAGGTAAAGTCCAGGAGACAAAGAGTCCTCCTCCAGATATTAAGGGGGTAAGAGAGAGAGAGAGATTTTGAGATCGAAACTACTTTCATTCATATAAGATTATGTATAAGGTTAAATATACAAAATTGAATAAATATAATAAAAAATAAATAAAGAGAGAAAGAGGTGATAATCATTTTTTTTAAATCAGTTATTTGAGAAATTATACTAAAGTTGAATGTTCCTCCTGGATTTTACACGATGGATATGCTTTTCCAACGAATATTTTGCCTTGAATAGGTTTTGAAAAAAATAAAGGATTACAGAAAAAGAGCTTGAGAGGATGTCAAATTAAAGAAGAAAAACAACCTACTCATCATGCAAATTAATGTTGCTGATAGCTCACTGCCATATAGCGGGGAAAATACCAACTTAACGTTTTTAAAATATAATTTCTAAAAAAAATAAAATGGTCAATAACTTTTTTTTTTAAATCTATATATATATATATATATATAAAATTGAATGTCTGTCTGTCTGTACTCTATAGATTCAAAAACCATACATCCAATCGCCATGAAATTTTGGGATATTATTAGGTACTAGACGAATGGCCCGGGCAACGCCCGGGTTTTACCCGAGTGCGAATATATTTTAAAAACGTTTTAATTCAAATACTATTCGTTACAATTATAAATTGGCGCCATGGATGTCACTCTTGTGAAACGTCCCGTTCCAAACTGTGTGTTTTAAAAAGTGGCCGCTATAGACAGGGTGGTCTGTTTAGACAGGTGGATGTATCACACAGCTAATAACAGGGTTGCCTAGAGTGGCCGCTATAGACAGGGTGGTCTGTATAGACAGGTGGATGTATCACACAGCTGATAACAGGGTTGTCTAGAGTGGTCGCTATAGACAGGGTGGTCTGTATAGACAGGTGTATGTAT